CCACACATCAAACAGCAACAATACCCCACTCATCAACAGCAAAAAAATCCACTCAAAACTCATCAACAGCAAACCCAAACCAAAACGAAAAAACTCATCAACGCATGCAGTTGAGCAGATTCAGGTGATGCTCGAAGGGGAGAATGGAGGAATAATGGACGAATCTACCAACTAATCACCCTCACGTCGAGCTACTCACCAACGAATCGCCCTCACATCGCTCCGCCAGAATCGCTGCCGCGGCGAAATGGCCTTCTGTTGACGACGACGAAATCGTCGTCGCTCTCTGCTCTCCTCTCCTAAAAGCGTTCTCTCTCTCTATGTCGGAAGAAATGAGAAAATTCAGCAAATGTGGGACCCACAGAAGAGAAAAGAAAAAAGCAGGCGCGGATTTCAAAATTGAACAGTTGCTATGGGACCCACGAGGAATCAATAAAAAGGCCAGCCCAATAGATAAAAAAGATCGGTAGCCCAAACAGAGAAGTCCATCCCACAACCCAATTATTGCACGAATCTTAAACATGATGGACGGCCCAAAAAACGAAAGATGGAGCCCAGCAAAATCTATCGACAGAAGAGTAGCCAATCCGTATTAAAAATACTTAATTTGTTTTTTTGTTATGATATGCAAAAGTATAGTTTTAAATTATATGTTCGTGAACAAGGGCGGAGCTAGTATATGTTAGGGGGATCCCAGGGCTATACTTTATCTATTTTCACCATGTATGCACCCCCTTATGCAAACTTAGACACCCGCATCAGCTTAAACTCGATCTAAAGTGGAGTAAATTAAGCAAGTGGCACCACCCTCCATTTTGCTCTAGCTTCACCCCTGTTTGTGAAGTGATATATGACATATTGATATGTCTTCTTAATTTCTTCGTAGCTATTTAAATGACGTGTCTCTCAACTGAGTTTAGTTATAGCTTCAACAAAAAGTTGAATTCCCCTGATATATTTGGATATTTTTAGGGCATGCACAATTTTTATTTTACAAGTAGGTAATTTTTTTAAGATAATGGAATAACAAAAACAAGTGGGTAACAACATGTGACCATTGATCCGGTGGTAGTAGTTGTTATTGAGCCCCACAATGTATAAGCCTATGACGAGAAAAACAAGGTAGGCCCATACACAAAAGATACCTATGCTAGCTTGGAGAAAATGGACATTTGGCCACGTTAAAAAAGCGGTTTCGCTGGAATGCCATCCAAAAAGGCGTTTCGCTAAAATGCCAATATGGAGCAGGCGATCATAGCCACTTTGTCATTTTCACCATTTTCAATTCTATTTCGTTGGAATGCGGCTTGATGAGACCAAATTGCCCCGGCTCACCGAGATTTTCCGCCCTTTCCTCTAGGTCATCCGCCCAGGCCCCGTCGTCGGAGGTGGTGGTGGCGACCACATCATCCTCGACGCACAGGAGCAGGTCCTGATCCACGCCGTCCAACCTCCTGACGTCATCCATGTCCTCGACACGCAGGAGCAGGTGCTCCGGCACCACGCTGTCATGAGGCTAGACCTCCTCGACGCCACATTCCTCTCCAGGCTCTGCGGCGACGTGGCCGGGAGGGTGTCGGTCCTCGTCCCCGACGTCCCCACCACGACCAGCCTCGTGAAGGCGCTGGGGAGTTGGTCCGGTAGGCGCGTGCATGCTCTGCCCCGTCCCGGACATCGTCGGCCTACGAGAGCTGCCAATCGTGCCGGGATTTCTCGTTGGGCTGGAGGTGGCCGAGTGGATCACCGTGCGCGTGCCGGCATATATCACGTGTTGGGCAGGGCCGCGCTACGCGGAGGTGCTAGTGGCCGCCCCGGACGCCGCCGCGCCCGACACCGTCGTGTGGAAGGCCTGCTCAAGGGGCTAGACACCATGGGGTGGAGTTGGTCACGGCTTCCATGGTGTCTCGACGCTCTCGCCTCGATGAGGAGCTCCGCCGCAAGTAGGTCGCCGCCCATGTCGAGGAGCTCATGGGAGGAGGAGGTGACAGAGGAGCTGGATCTTGATCCCCTTTCAGCTAGTGAGGGGCAATTTGGTCTCATCAAGCTGCATTCTAGCAAAAATGGAATTGAAAATGGTGAAAATGGAGGAAATTGGCAAAGTGGTTGTGATCACGCGCTACATATTGGCATTTTAGCGAAACGCATTTTCAGGATGGCATTCTAGCGAAACTGGTTTTTGAACATGGCCAAATGTCCATTTTCTCGTTAGCTTGTGACTGAACTATAATTCATTTTTATTTAAGCAATTTTACAGTCCTTGAGAATGTATCATGAGATACTACTTTTTCTATTGTAAATTTGGTTCCTCTCGGTATCTAGATACTATGAGGTACAAAATTTTATACTTAATTTTTGGTACCTCCCTCAAGTACCATAAAATTGCTCTTTTTATTTACTTGTTGCGTGTAGCAAGCTATGACCGGGTAACAACTACTACCAACTTTCACAGTGTATATAACCATATGTTGAAAGGAAGCATTCGATGTCTTATTGCCTGTTTTTCTCTCACATTGTAGTGAGTAAATTTATATATATAATAAATTTATACTTCAACTATATATAATAAATTTATACTTCACAGAGGCGTGCAAGTTTCGTGCATAGTTGCATGCCACCAGTGGGGCATTTGCTCTTTGTGTTAATTATTGGTGGATCGCCAGCAAAAGGGGAGGAAAAAAAAAGAAGCAAAATCGGGTCAACTTGAATCATCTGTTAATACTACTACGACTGTCACGTCAAGTCGATTCATTAGAGGAGATTCCAAAGTCCGTACGGAGAAGAAGCCGTCATAAATTACTCCAAAACAATTTAATTTCGTGCCTGTTGATACACGTTCGCCTCATCAGTTGTTTTGCTTGGGTACTTCCGACTTCCCATCTGTTCGTCGGTAATAGCTGTCTTTATCCACTGGAGTACTCTGATGTGAGACGTTCTACTTGTCCTTAATATTAGTATTAGTACTACTATGAAAAATAAACGGAACTACTAGCTGACTTTCGACAGTTTTCATGAGTGTTTAGCCATCGATTCCGCGCTAAGATTTGTAATGAGATATTTTATTATCGAATCTAAACCCTCTTTTCACAAGCTAGTCCCATCATCACATGTTTATGGCAGATTTTTTCAAATTACATCAAAGTCACATTCTAGTTATATTGTAGTTACAAAACTATAATTACATTACATTGTAACTATGGTGTAACTACACTATAACTACATTGATATCTCTATATAAAGTTGCATATATTATTTTAATACATATATACAAGTTATTATTATTATAGTATAGTTCTAGTAAAATTATATACTATAGTTAGATTTGAAAGTTTTCCCTAAAAAGCACTCGACAGTATTTTTAGCTAATCCCAAAATAAAATACTCTCATAATTTATTCGAGTACACGTTTTGTTACGTACTCCCTTTGTCTCTCTTCAGATTTATTTATAGAAAACATCGTATCCTATCTGTCGACGTTTGATGTCGCAATTCTGATATTTGCATGGTATGGGGATCGTCGGTGCTAGGCTATACGCAAGACTGAGGTAAAAGAGATGGAGACAGGGATTTTTATACAGGTTCGGGCCCCTAAGTTGTCAGGTAATAACCCTACATCCTATTGGCCGAAGCCATCCTGTTGGCCGAAGCCGGTATTGCTCTTATTCATGATAATCACACCAGTACAATATTTGGGTAGCCAATCTAACTGTTGTCGACATGGCAGTCTGACGATCTGACTCGTAGTCGACAACAGGGTAGCCTTCCTCCTCGAATCCGTGCCCGGCGAGATCAGAGATAGCGCTTTCGTTTCTCCTGACAGTATCCGGAGACACCGCAAGGTATTAGCCGTGCTTATCCTTGAAGTCGATATCCGGCGGCGTGTCTTGGCGTATGTAGGCTTCTATGTTGATTGTATTGGGTGTTGATCCTGTCGTGTGTTGATCCCGTTGGGTGTTGATTGTCTTTTCCCATGGTCGTTCCCCCTCTCCTCTCCAGGGGCCCTGTATTTATACTCATAGGTGTCCTCTTGTCCAAGTAGAACTAGGGAAACCAATATGGATACAATCTGAGTAGTCCTTGTCGTTTTCATGTAGAACTCTGGTTGTCTTTCCTTATCCAGAACTCCCTCGAGGTCAGTTTCCATATAAGACATGGTATGTAGTGGATCCTGCCGAGATTTAGTCAATTACTATTAGGTATGTGGTATCCATAACCCTGACATTATCATATTTTGGTTTTTTATAGGACGGAGTGAGAGAAGTAATTATCAATTTACTACTATAAAAAACAAAGTAAAAAAAGTTAAAAACCACCCTTTCAGAAACCATAAAAGGGACATTTTCACAAGAAAATCAATTCATAAAAAAATCAGTGTCTCTAGAAAAAAACCAACTAGAAGATAAAATAAATAAAGTTGAACGTATAAAATCATGTATATGCTACTGGCACATGTATATGCTAATATCACTAAAATACAGTACACCAACCCATAGAAATTGTCCCTTCTCAAAAAAAACCATAGAAATTGTGATTAGCAAAATAATATAGCTAGTTGTACACCCTAAACTCATAAAGAAACGATAGTCCAATAATCTACGTTTCCAAAGCCCGACAGGTTGCATACTTTGCATAACATTGACATGTTTGTCCACATCTCGTGTCACGCTCCAGACCAAACAATAAAATACTTAAAAATAATATAAAAAAATAGTTCTCACTTTATCTCAAAATAAGCTTAGCCATTAGTTTCCGTGTACAACTTTAATTGTCTGTCTTATTTTTTTAAAAGAAAATATGAGTCATTATTTTATATCATTAATAACTATTAATGTTTTGTCATTAATAATAGTAAAATTACTAATCATAAAGAATATGATTTATGATGAACAATGTGAAACTGCAGGAGTGAGGGAGTAAGAAAGAAAAAACAGTGAGGATCACATCACAGAGCTTCATAATTAGCCTCCTAATCCACCCCAATCCCCCGCCACGTGTCCTTCCTCCCTCTCTCACTCTCTCTCTCTCTCTCTCCATTAACGAGGCAGAGCCAGTCCGAATCGGAGCTCGAGTCGAGATGGGGCAGCAGCAGCAGCAGGAGAACCTCACCCTCCTCCCCATGTCCTCCTCCTCCGCCGCCGCCGCCGCCGACGCCGCGGCTGCGTCTTCACCGGCGGCGTCGGCTGGGAGGCTGTTCACGGCGGGGCTGGTGGCGTCGTGGTACGCGTCCAACATCGGGGTGCTCCTCCTCAACAAGTTCCTCCTCTCCACCTACGGGTTCCGCTACCCGGTCTTCCTCACCGCCTGCCACATGTCCGCCTGCGCCCTCCTCTCCTACGCCGCCGCCGCCGCGTCCGCCGCCGCGCCGCGGGCTGCGCGGCCGCGCCGCTCCAGGGGGCAGCTCGCCAGGGTGGCGCTGCTCGGGGCGGTGTTCTGCGCCTCCGTGGTCGCCGGGAACGTCTCGCTCCGGTACCTCCCCGTGTCGTTCAACCAGGCCGTCGGCGCCACCACGCCCTTCTTCACCGCCGTCCTCGCCTACGCCGTCGCGGCCCGCCGGGAGGCGTGCGCCACCTACGCCGCCCTCATCCCCGTCGTCGCCGGCGTCGTCATCGCCACCGGGGTAAGGCGGCCGCGATTCCTCACTGGATCTGCCTTGATTGCTCTCCCAACCTGCAATGCTTGAACAGAGACGATCCAATTCTTGAACAATCTCAACAATTTCAGGGTGAGCCAAGCTTCCATCTGTTTGGTTTCATCATGTGCATCGGCGCAACCGCCGCGAGGGCGCTCAAGACTGTCCTGCAGGGGATCTTGCTGTCATCGGAGGAGTAATAATTCATCACATCGCAATCCTTTATGAATTATTGTGCTACCCACATTTTGGTCTAACTAATTTGGTCAGCTAATTTTATTCCCTTTCCACCTAATTTGATATGCAGGGAGAAGCTCAATCCCATGGAGCTTCTTGGTTACATGGCTCCGGTGGCCGTCGTTCTGCTGATTCCAGCAACGTTTATCATGGAGCGCAATGTGCTCACTATGGTGACTGCGCTTGCGCGGGAGGATCCGAGTTTTATCTGGATACTGCTTTGCAATTCCTCGTTAGCCTACTTTGTGAACCTCACAAACTTCCTAGTCACCAAGCACACTAGCCCACTCACTCTCCAAGTAATCCAACCTTCCCTCCTACCTGCACTGTTAGCATGATGCTTTGATGATCTTCAATCTTCCTAACATTCAGGCACATGTCGATATGTTTGCAGCTAACAATGTTCAACGCGTTGCTTGATTCTTACCAGGTTCTTGGAAATGCGAAAGGGGCTGTTGCTGTTGTGGTTTCCATCCTGATATTCAGAAACCCGGTAACCTTCATGGGGATGCTAGGCTACGGGATAACAGTCGCAGGCGTTGTTCTTTACGGGGAGGCCAAGAAGAGGAGCAAGTGAGATGAGCCCAATTAAAAAAAGAGTCACTTGACCTCATCAGTTTGGTAGCTCCTGCACTCCAGGGACATAAAATGCTGCTGATAACATTATGCATATGCACCTCTTACACTGCCAACCTGATGTGTTCTGATTTAATCATTGATGGGATGATGAAGATGACAATTTGCAATCTTTTTCTACATGCTCCAGAAGTCCAGATGCGCAATCTGGGATCCTAAAGTGTAGGCATTGGTGATCGTGCTAGCTCATCACACACTGTTAGATCAGATGTATTGATGCTTTGTAGTAACAATGATGTGTACTGTAATCAGTGAGATGCAAAAAATCATTGTAAGTTTGTGCTTGCATGACAATTTCAGTGTTATGTTAACTACTTTCAGATACTACAATCTAGAGTTATATGAACAAGAACAATTCAACCAACAATTTGTAGGGAAAGAGATGAACAAATGTGACTGATATACGATTACTTGCAAACCTGTAGTTGACATAGCAGTGTCAACTCTCTTAAGTGTTCTGCAATCTGATTACAACCGAGAGCGAAATCCTTATCATGGCATGCGATGTACAGAAAAAGGATTTTACACTCAAGACATAAGAGTTAAAACAACACATGCCAGAGAAAGAACTTCAGCTGCAATTGCCTTCCAATAATAAGGATGTATCAGAAACAACCAGCATACCATACGACTAAATCCCTCTACAAGATCAAGAGGCCAGGTCGGTGGCGTCCCCAAGAGAAATGGTGGACAATCTCTGGCAAATCAGATCAACTGCTAACGAACCAGCGCCATCATTTGGCTGGATGTTCTGATGCAGAGCCGGAATGTTCTCCTTTGCTGTGTCTGCTGCTGCTGCTGCTGCTGCTGCTACCACTGGGCAGGGCTGGGGTGTGCACACTTCATGTTCCATCGCCTGGGAAGGCTCAAGTTCTATCTGTACAACTTCAAGGGGGAGTAAAGGTGATGCCTTGCTCTGGACACTGCTTTTTTTCTCATGAGGTGAGGCTGCGAGTCTCGATTCCGGCTGACTCAAGATAGACGATGCTGGGTCCCCCATTTGAGCAGAAGATAGCTGAGGTGAACACTGGATCTTCATGGGCTGCACTTGCATATGTGCACCAATCTGTTGGTCGATGGACTTCTGGAGACAAACGCATACGACACAGATTATAATTTGTAATGCCATCAATTAAGAATACTTTCATGATCACAATGAAGAAAATACTAAATGGACCAGACAAAAGAAAACACTAAATTTACTTACAGCATCAAAGTAACCAATTTTGGGTGTAGGCATACGCAGACCAGATGGTTTGGAACCTTTTCCCTGGGTGTCTGCATCTGCTCTTGTTGGAGCGTGGTCATTGCTATTTCTGAGGGAAGGGGATAATGAAGAAGACCGTGTACTGAAGCTCTCAGATGTATGGCTCATCTTCCCTACAGTGGAAGCTGTTGAAGCCCCAGAAACCACAGAACTCAAGCTGTCCACAGAACTGCTAGGCGAAATGCTTGGAGATACACGATTACTTTTGCCCCCAGTTGGAATATTATTTCTCGATGCTCTTGCTGGGTTAGCTTTGTTGACATCAGTCCTTGACGTTGAACGAACAGGAATCCTTTGAGCAATTCTGCTCTTGTTGCTTAGGGTTGATGATTTAGGTTTTTGACCTAGCATATTACCAATTGAAGCTGCTGTTGCTGCTGCTGATGATGATAATGATGATGGTAAGGCACCTGATTTTGAAGTTGAAGTAGATTTTGTCACTCCACCAGGCCTAGAATGTGCGCTAACTGAATTGTTGACAGATTTACCAACTGTCTGCCTGTTGACCACACCTCCTACAAGAGAATACATGTTAGTCTTGCCACCTATAAACATTATAGCAGATAGAATCTATATTGTTGACGCACCAGTGCTGCTCCTTTTGTCTGGAATTCCAGAAGCCACAGCTGTATTAGTTGGCGCTCTCATTGTAGCAACTCTTGGTAGAGCCCTCGGAGGTTTCAAAGATGGTTTTACTTCTGTAGATCCTGAAATAGGCTTCTCAAGCAGAGAGTTGAAATGAAATTAATTCCAGAATATTGCATAACTAAGATAAGGAAATGGGGAAGCTAGTGAAGCTACATCTCGCAAACTGAAACATCACAAATTGTATATCCATCGCTCAGATTTCAATAAATAATAGTAAGAACTTAGACACTTAGAAAACGATTCAGCAGACCATGTTGTTCTAACAAGCAGCATTTTCATTGTTAAGATAAGAATACCACATAATTTCCTATTCATTTAAACTAGCACATTCTAGTTCTTTGTGATCTGTTTGTGTCTGCCTTTGGCTTAACCATCATACAATAGATTCAAGGCAAATTTTGCTACAGGACAATCAAAATATGTGTAATTTACTGATAGACATCGCAAAAACGTGTCACGGCTGAAAGACACCCTAAAAAATTGGTAATTTGGTAGAGGACACTTTCGACTCAATTGGAGAGATGAATTCTTAAGAAGGGCGAGAATGCCCCTAGTACCAAGCTTGAGCTCAAAAGCTTTTGACCCTAGGGGCATTCTCGTCTTTTTGAAGAATTTATCTTTACAATTGAGCCGAAAGTGTCCTCCAGCAAATTTTTTGTGATGTCTTTCAGCCGTGAGTCTACCAGCAAGTTACACAAATTTTAAGTGTCCTGTAGCAAATTTTGCCTAGATTCAAACCATTGAGAAGGATTCATAGCCCCTTAACTTTTAAATGTTAAGGGACTATGAAGAATGTAAACAACTAAACTACAACACATTTAATGTAATGTATCTGCTAGCATGGACCATACCACTCTTGCAGTTGTAGGCTCTTTCAAGGTAGCTTGGATCCTTTGTTTTCCTCCAGCAGCACCCTGGCTTGTGGAAATAGGGGCCCTTATCTGAACAAGCATCGAAAAATTTTGGTCAGTGATGGACAAGGACTATAATTTTAGATCAAACCATATATGAATTGTGCTATATACCTTACTCTGAGGCATCAGATCAACCCCCTTCCTTGCTGGAAGTAGCAAAAAGAATAACTACATCAGTTACAAACATGAAACCAACAGATAATAAAACTCAGAAGAAGCTTCTTACCTGCAACACGAGGAACATTTGCCTTGGACTTCGGGGGTTTTGAGATAACAGCAGTAACACCTGGGGCTTTTCCAGGATTGCCGTGCGATCTCTGGATCGAAGCACGGACGTTGTCAAACAGCTCAGTCTCCAGATTTTCCATCACCCAGCTTTCGCTTTCAAGAGTCGAAGTTGTTGACTCCCCTGACCTCCTCATTTCCTCAGCGATTCCAGGCAACCTGGAACCCTGTGCCTTGCGGAATGTGCTGTTTACAACAGCCAATTCCTCAGTATCCAGAACACCTGCTCAAACCAGAAAACATTAGGAACTGATACATATCTACATTACGATATTTGCCTACTGTAATAAGGAATGGGAACACATCAGACAGGCAGGGAAAAAAAACAGAAAGGGAAATGTTAGGACTTCAGAGCTGCTATCAAACTGCCTCAAAACAAGTGAATGCTCAAAGACTGAAAGGAATTGGTAGCTTTGCAACGGAAAATGGATGACAGGCTGACAAACCAAGGACTAGATCAACAGCAGTACGAGAGCATTTTAAAAAATTCACTGTCCAAAACATTGGGAACTAGGAGTGGTTCTTCTATAATGATGCAGCGTGTGACCGAATATTGCTGTTAGTGCTTGTGAAGAAACACAGATTACAGGCATGCCATCTGGTGCTGGGCCTGTAAACTGCAGCCTGGTGCTGTTTTTCCCTCTAAGATTCTGTAACCCTTCTGTTTCCATCATCACGACAGTGAGGAATGGGAGAGATCCCTAAATCGAAATGTACATCAAAAGATGCAGGAGTCTACTATAAGTCTACAACAAGAAACAAATACTACTGAACACCAGCAATTTCATTCATGGGTGGGGAATTTGGTTAGTGCACAACCTTCGCTGGTGAAGAAGGCGCTGTCCCAAGCCAAGCTCTTGCGGAGATTAACGCCGGCCTTCGCTTTCCTCCGCTTCGGAGACTCCGACTGCTCAGGGGCCTCCTCCGTAGCGCCATCCGGATCCACAACCCGCCTCATCTCCGGAGAATCGCCGGCGGGATCCAGGCGAGAAGCCTCGGCGGCCATCACCTCATCACACCCTAAAACGAAAATCGCAGCACGAAACCGTCAGATCCCCAGATCGAAGCAACCCCACAGCACCAATCAACCCCGAGACACCACGATTCCACCCCCCAAAAATCTCGATCGAAAACGAAGCGCAAGAGACAGCAACGGGCGTGCGTTCGTTCGTTCGTTCGTTCTCACCTGCGTGGGGCGGATCGGGATGCAGCGGCGGGGGCGAGGTGAGGTCGAGCAGGAGGTCGTCCTCCGCGGCCACGTCGATGAGCGAGAGCGCCTCCATGAGAGGGAGGGAGGGGAGGCCGTCCGGCCGGGCGCGGGAGACAGCGACGGCGGCGGCGGAGGCGGGGGTCCAAACCCTAGATCGCCGCGGGGTGGGGGAGAGGCGGCGGCGGCGAGCTGGGGAGAGAGACGTTGGCGGTGAGAGGTTTTTTTTCTGGGAATAATAAGGGAAAGTTTGGGAATTGGGAGACGCGTGCGGCAGTTTCGGGGAGAGGCTGACGGGTAGGGCCCACGCGTGGGTTTAGGCTCGAGCCGTGTTGATTACTGCGTCCTCGTTTGAGTCAAGGGCGGTGATTGTTTACATGGGCGGGATGGTTTGAATTTTGGGAGGTCTTTCTTTCTTCTTTTTTTTTTTTTGCCTTTTGGGGGTTGTCGCGGGCTTGCAGCTGCCTGTTGGGTTGTTGTTGGGCCTTTTTCTTGGGCTGGTTCATGGGCTTGCTTTGGAGTTCTTCAAAACCTCTTGTTACGTACTACTCCCTCCGTCACTAAATATTTAACGTCGTTGACTTTTTAAAATATGTTTGATTGTCCGTATTATTTAAATAACTTTTGTAAAATATGTAAAACTATATGTATACATAAAAGTATATTTAACAATGAACGAAATGATAGCAAAATAATTAATAATTACTTTTTTTTAATAAGACGAACGGTCAAACATATTTAAAAAAGTTAACGGTGTTAAATATTTAGGGATGGGGAATCCGATGTTCTGAGCTCGACGGCATCTCACTAAGCTAAGCAAGGGAAGGGAGGCAGATGGAGTACCATGCCAGGGAAAGAAAGGAGGTGGTCCCAAGTTTGTCAATGTCTTTGTTGAGGGATGAGGAAGATAGGTGTAGGACAATTGGGGGACTCGTCGGGCCTGTGTAATGGTTGGGAGGATGTATGGTGGAGTGGTGATACACCGGATGCGAGATGCGTTATATGTTATATTAGATGATATCCAGCGCGTTGATGCGGGATATTATGTATTGGCATGGGTTTAAAACATCCATGAATAGATTCTAAATTGAAGGATTTTAGCTGCACAAATGTCTAGAGCAGGATGAATCCAGGTGACAACTAAAGAACAGTCTTTATCTCTTGTGTGACTGATGGTTTACATAATAAGGGGTGGGCATATTGATTAACTAAACTGACAGTACCTATCATATGAGAAAATGGAAATGAATAGTTGAAAATTTTTATACAATATAGGTGACTTATTCTTAAGTCTCCTCAATACATAATAAGGAAGATAAGGAAATTCAAAAAAAAAATTGAGATCATAATATCATAGTTTAAATTATGAACTCAATTAACATTTATAAAGAAAAACCAAAAGGAGGGACCTGCGCGGCAGTATATACCTTTCACTTACATCATTGATCATTGTGCTGCATATGATGAAAATTATCTCCAATCACAAAAATCCTGTGACCTGTGTGATATCACCTGCTGCCTGTGAGATGATATTTTTAATTGTAAAGTTTCACCTCAAATAATTGTCCGTAGTTGCATATAAAATAATTACTTCACCAACCTGTTCAGCTCACTGAAAGAAAATTAGGAATTATATGCAGGGACGATTCATCAGTAAGTAAGTTTACTTAGTGTTTTGTACATAATACTAAAACCAATATAAAATATAAGGTTTATGGACAGTTGCAAGGTAACATAAAATGATTTTAAAATTGAGCATAACAGAAAATGTATTGTTTGCAATCAAATTTAGTGATGTGTACACCATAAGAAGAAATTTGCGCCAATTTATTTATTATTCAACATTGTAGGGTACTTAAATCCAGAAATAAACCTGCAATCAAATATGTGCAAAAATTGAAGTAGGGAGTAAGTAAAATGCAGGCACAAATACTGTTGTACGAAAGAAAAGAGGGCAAGTTTGGATATTAATTGAAATTTGTCAAGAACATAATAGCTGAAGTGGTGAGAAACGATGTGCATCAATCAATGTTGATTAGAAAGAGATATTTACCTGAAATGCTGGATTAGGGATGACCTGGGAAAAATAGGGATCAGCAATTCAACATGAAAGGGGAACAACCTCATCCCTAGCAGATGGATCCATGAACCTGTGTAATCAGAGCGGGCAGCAACACAACAAACAGCAACATGTCTGTGACATATGGAGAAGACACGAAGAGATGCAACAAACCAAATAATGCAGGTCATTAGAAGAGGGATAGACAGAAACTGGGAACCGCCCATAACTTCCCTTGAACTGGTACGGGTGGTATGGCTCGTTTCCGTCGCTTGGCCTACTGCCGGCGATCCCCTTCTGCTGATGCACTGATGCTGGCGGTGGCTCGCTCATGTTGCTACGGGTGGAGGCTTTTGATCTGATGCACATCGCGACCGAGTGGGTTTAGGGTATTTATTGAATCATTGGATCAGTGCACGCCATGACCAGAGCTGAGGGGGTTGAGGCGTTTGGTGACCTCGTCGCTTGTGTGGGGGAGGAGAAGCGGCGCCGCGGCTGGCGGACCCACTGCTGGTGCGCGCGGTGGATGGGGGAGGAGAAGCATTCGCGGTGCGGGGAGGAGAAACGACCGCAGCTTCCAGATCAGTCTCGCGGGGAGTTGAGCCGTCTTCCAGATCAGGCGACGCTCGTTCATCTGGCGCGATAACTCTCCCACCACCGAGCGCTGTCCCTACCACAAGCGCGCGATGGAAAGGGCGACACAGCAGACGCCGCCGCCCCTCTGAGCCGGGGAACCCCACCGATCCAAATAAACCCTAAAAGTCATCCTGCGATTTAGGTGGGCCTTACCCTGGTTGGGCTCTGTTTCATTTGAGTATGCCGCATTTCTATCCAACGGCTGAGAAACAATCTAATGTATTAATCCAACGATTCACAACTGATGATGACGTGGCTTAACCACAACGTAGCTTTGGGTCTTAACTATATAGAAAGAAGGGATGAGATATCACAATGTCTGGCATGATCGCATGATACAATATGATAACTTGTAGTGATGACAAATGTTATTATTACCTTTGTGCTATAAAATTTATAGCGTGGTCTTGGCTCTGGAAGGATAGGTGTCAAAATCATAATTTACACTTATTAAATGGGACGTCGGTTATTTTTTTATGTCTATGTTATGCCCAAATTATTATGGTACTGACAACATCTTTTTATCATGGTAATTTTGGCAATTTGTTTGATGTCAAGTTTTTAGAAACGATATAGTCTTTATGTCCTTTTTGCCAAATTCTGTACAATGTCAATTTGTTAATCGCAAACTAAATGTTATTTATTTTGATATAACTAGTTTAGGCATCGAACCAGACAAGGTTTTATATTAAACCGTTGCGCCTAACTCAACAAACTACAAAAATGCTATTTATTTTGATATAAATAGTTCAGGCATCGAACCAAATAAGGCTTTATATTAAACCGGTGCACCTAATTCAATAAACTACCAAAACAATACCACATAGCATGGAAACAAAATAAAACAAGATATTCGAATTCGTCCCCCTAAAATCATCTCCTATCCAATCCCCATATCTCTCCCACCCATCGGTGATCACCATGGTGAATATACTGGTCTCTGAGATGCAGCTACCCCCAACTCGCCCACCTCCTCGCTGTACGTTGCCTCACTGCCACAATGTCAGCCCCATCGCTTGAAAACCCCTCCTCTTGCTCCAACACAAACTGTCGCCACCTGTAAACCCCGCTCTACCTAGGATGTGCTATCGCTGATGAAGGTGGAGCTCATGGGCGTCCTCGACCTTGAGAAATAAGGATGAAGAAGGAATAAGAGGAAGTCAATGTTTCGAGCTTGATGGCGTCTCACCGAAGCAGAGGAAGGGGCGGTAGATGGAGTAGCATATTAGGGGAAGGAAGGAATGAGGCGATGCCAACAAAAGAAGGACGGAGGTGATTCCAACTCTGTTGGAGTCTAAAGGAGGAGGAAGACAATTTTACCATAATTTGGGTGGAGGGGTGTTGGCCCTATGTAATGGATGGGAGGAGGTATTGGGAGTGGTGGTACACCGAATGCGTCATGCGTCACAGAGTATGAGGCAATACAATTTCGTCGGATTTTCATGCTTGGCATGATTCATAAAGTGCTCCATGGTGACGACAAATCTTATAGCTTTTGTGCTATAAAATTTATGGTGTCGTTTGGATTTAGGAACGATCAATGTTAAAATCATAATTTACTCCTATTAAATAGGGGTGGTTATGTTTATTACCATGTCTAGCCCTACCAAATTTATGGTAGTGGCAACATTACGGTATCGTCAAAACTTTGGCGAGTTGTTTGATGTAAAAAAACACTCGAGTTTTTATTGTCTCTTTCGTACAAACTTTAACAATGCCAATTTATTTTGGTACTATAACTGATTTGGGCATCAAACCAAACCAGACCGTACTAAATCGTTGCCCCTATATAAAAAGGAAAAATTAGAACCATGCCATTATAATTTTACAAAATTTAAGATATGTCATCCTGATCCACATGTCATTGACTCACGTGGGTACTACATGTCATTGACTAAAAACATATAAAAACTACCGAAACAATTCCAAAGAGCGCGGAAACAAAAGATATTCGAAATCCATCCCCCCCCCAACAAAACCCGTCTCCCATCCAATCCCCCGATCTCTCTCTCCCCCCACACAACCCATCGGCGGTGATCGCCATGGCGAACAAGCTGGTCTCGGAGATGCGGCTACCTCCCCACCTCGCCCACATCCTCGCCGCGCGCCGCCTCACCACCGCCAAGGTCAGCCCCCGCCGCCGCCCTCCAAAACCCCTCCCCCTGCTCCAACACCAACCGCCGCCGCTAAACCCCATTCTACCCAGGACGTGCTGTCGCTGCCGGAGGTGGAGCTCATGGGCGTCCTCGACGCCGGCATCCACACCGCCCGCGCCGCCGTCGCCCACGTCAGCGAGATCGCCTGCCCTCCGTACCAAACGGTACCCTCCCCCCCCCCCCACTTCGCCGTCCCCCGGTTTCGAGGGGTTTGGATTCGATTCGAGTTACTCTCGTTTGGTTGATCCGTGTATGATTGGGACAGTGCATTTGCGTTTATGATCGGGGTTTGTTACTGTGCTTGTTGATCTGCAGGCGCTTGCGCTCCTCGAGGCCTTCAGGGCAAGAGGAGATGGGCGGCTGGCCACCACGCTCCGCGGATTGGATGAGGCATTGCATGGAGGAATCCCCGCAGGGAAGCTCACTGAGGTCGTTGGGCCCTCGGGGATTGGCAAGACCCAGGTGAGCAGCTCAGCATTATGCAATGATGCTTTGTGGGATTTGTGTGTCTGTGATGGATACGAACCAATTATTGTGTCTGCTTGACTTCTGGGATCGCTTGGTGTCGATAGGGAACCAAAAGCAAATGGATCTTGTGAATGGATGTAACAGGGTGCTGCGGCATTACGATTTATGGCATTGCTGTGTGCTGGTTACTGCATTCTTATTTCATTGATCAAAGATAGGAACTGAGCCTAGCACTTGAATCCCCTTTGACATTATTCGTGTGCTATCTTATCGATTAAAGAAACCCTTGTTACTACTCCTAAGTATTATCCTCTTTTATTATTCCAGCCAGCAGCGGTCATGGTCGAACCTATTTATTCGGGGCTGGTTGGTTAGTGGAAAATTTCCATTTTCATAATAATGCATGCTTTTGTTGATTCTGTCTAGTGCAAAGGCATTCACTGAGCCAATTAATGGATCTTCAAATGGCACTTGTTTAATAGTCTTCTCCGTGTAGAGAATATCAAGTGCTTCTCTTATACTCCCTCCATCCAAAAGTCTTGAGCATATTTCATTTTTTGGTTTTCCCAAATGAGACGGTCATATTTGTAGTCTCCATATGCTAAATTAAATTGTTGATCGGAACCCAAGTAACCATTTTAATACTCATTGGTTGCATGCATGTAAATAATTCCCTGGTTTTGGTACATGGGGAATGAGTTAATTTCTCCTTGGTCTTGGTGACAAAAGAAATATGCCTTAGACTTTTGGATGGAGAGAGTATTACATTGAGTAATTTATTATACATTCAGTAAAATTTTATAAAGAGTCACAAACTTTGCAGTTCTGTCTGAAGCTTGCTTTGCTAGCAACATTACCAGAATGCTATGGAGGCTTAAATGGTCGAGTTTTGTATATTGATACTGAATCCAAATTCTCTTCACGGAGGTAACTGAAGTTTCTGCTTACTATTACGTTCTCCCAAGCACACCAATTGAGAACTATCTGTAAAATGTTTGCATGATGTATCTAGGATGATCGAGATTGGTGAGAAAAGCTTTCCTCAAATATTTCGTCAAGAAGGCTTGGCCCAAAAGGTTCTTATGCTTCACCTTGTACATATACATCGACACTTTGAAAATTCACTGCGGTGTTGTACTTTTGTTCTCATAGTATTGGACTTCATGGGCTGTTATCTTGTATTTTTTGTACAGATGGCTGGGAGGATCCTAGTCCTGCGCCCAACATCATTATCTGAATTTACCAAGAGGTACATACATATTTGTAAGAGAGAATTCCTTATATGCCAATTGACAGGGAATTACTCAATCAGCATAGGAAGTTGACAGGGAATTACTGTGCCTCTAGGAGGGCTATTTGAGGGTTGAAGGGTCAATTTACAAATCTTTAGACTTCCGGTAGCACATTTTCAAAATACCTTTATTCTACCCAACAATGTGGTTGCTAGTCAATGATTAGAACTATTCCCCATTGCTTCCATGTGCAAAAATTCAGCAGAATATGCATGAAACACTCCCTTCCTTTTTGTTTCTTTCCAATCTTTCTACAGTTTGGAACAGATGAAGGTGACTCTTCTTCAGCATGATGTGAAGCTACTTGTTGTTGATAGCATGGCTGCTCTTATGTCATCGTAAGAAATGCATGATAGTACATATTGTTTTGTCTTTCATACTGCCTTACTTTCAAACAATGATAGTCATCATGATGAGTAATAATCACGTTCTAAGCATATTCTTGTTTTACTTATTTAGAAAGTTATTTTGATTAATAAATATCATAATGTGAATTTTGGATTGTCAGATCCTTAATATGTGGCTACATGTATGATAAATGTTACTCCCATATTTATTTTTTAGCAGATTTGAAAAATTAAACTTCTAAGATATTCTGAAATGTATGGATTTTAGTGGGCCTTTAAATACATCTATACAATGAGCTATGAGAGGTAAACTTTAATGTATTGCAGTATTTTCTATATAATGTGTATAAGTTTCAGATATATAAAGGATGGTTTCCATTATATAAAATATTGGTTCTTCAACTTGCTAAGATAATTTCTATGAAACTTTGCACCTTAAATAATATTGAGGCTGAATCCTGAAAAGGGATAACTTGTTGGGGGAGGTGGAATCCCAAGTGTGGTAGCAGTGGGTGCACGATGTTATGTGTTGGTTTCAATTAGCAACACCATTGTTTTAAATATCTTGCTGTACCCTTGCACTGGTAGCTCTATAGAGGGCTTTGGCCTAATACAGTTACTATGATGTGTAGTCTGTAACGATGTCTAGCACAAATAGGTTCCATGTTTCCATACGAACTAATTACATGTGGGATTTGTCTACTGTTAATACTGTCCATTACTTATGTTATGAGAATTATGAAGATCTCATCTTTATCTTTTTCTTTAAGAATAAACTATCTAATATTTTGAATCCCTGTTTCATCTTATTTGCTTATGTGACAGTGAGATTGAGAAAAGCGCAACAGGTCTCAGACAACACCCTCTAAGATGGGCCCTTTCATTTCTTAAGTTAGTGACCTAGACCCTAGTATTTCATAGCATTCTACTATTATTTCATAATATTGAACTACATTGGTTTAGTTTACATTTGGCTACCTTCCTTTTTTTTTTTCTCAACATGCAGATCTATAGCAGAGTTCTCACAGATTCCTGTTGTTGTTACAAACCAAGTACGCAGCCAAAGTAATGATGATGGCTATCGTTATTCATTTGAAGGTTTGGGCATCCAAGAAAACAAATTATCTTTTGGACACTTTGTTGAGATTGAGTAACATTTCTATTACTCTATTGCAGTTGAGAAGAAATACGATAGTAATAATGCTGAAGGCTTTGAATCTCATCTTGTTGCTGCTCTAGGAATCCAGTGGGCTCATGCTGTAACTATACGTCTAGTCTTTGAGGCTCACTCAGGTCTGTCTAATTATTTTTATATTTCACAATGAAACAGACACCTATAAATATTATTAACGCCATTTTCACCCACCATCTGATATGCTGCATGACAATGCAATAGGAAAGTCTCAACTACATTTGATTTCAATTTCATCTATGTACACGCATTATTTATCTCCTTACACCTTTATTTTATTATCGTATACCACTTTTGATATACACTTTAAGTGGCATAATTAAACTTGAGGAACCACAACAATGTTTATTGTCTTTTGAACTTGCTCTGTGTAAGACCTGTACGTAAGGATTTGGTATAGCTTTCTGCATTGAATGCAGTGGTATAGCATCAGTATTACTAGTTCTTTCATTATATGTTTAACAAATCAAATATCTGTTTTATATTTACCTGCCGTGGTAGTTTTGTATGAGTTATACAAGCTGCACTTGTATAGGTCACAGGTACATCAAGGTAGCTAAATCCCCTATGACTCCAGCGGTAGCTTTTCCCTTTACTGTGGAGTCATCAGGAATAATATTACTTAGTGATGAGGGCATTGATGTGCCATCTCCTGAAATAACCTCAATCCGTTGTCAAGGTATGAATATGAATTGCAATTTGTATTTTATATTATTTGCGCATAAAGAGTTTATGCCTGCAATGTTCCTTTTGTTAATCCTAACAATGAACTTGTTTCAGGAGAAAATGTCCTGGCTCAATGACCATTTGAATGCTACCACATCTACAGTTAAGGAAAACCAATTTAATCTCAGCGCACTCTGCATCAACTTCAGAAGTTATGTTGCATACCATGTATATTTATTTAGAGAGTAGCTTAAATTGTAAGTAATCTAGGAAAGAGTGTAATAGCATAATCTTTAATTTTTGCTACTGAATTGCATTCCGACTGTAATAGACAGTTACCAATCCATCTTTACGTAATTATTATGGTTAACATCATTAACTTCACTGGTTATGTGGCTCTTTATTTGCAATGAGCTGTATTACAATGATTTACAAGCTTGATCCATATTGATGGATATGTCAAATAAGGTCATTGTGGGTAATATAGTTTCTTTGTTGCTGCATTAGTGGGAGGGTTCCGCCGGCGCTGTATACTTTTATTATGTATATAAACCACACTTTATTCGACTTTTGTTCTTTTATGGCTCCCTTGTAATTTTTTTAAGTGAAGACTTCTATAACAAATTTATCAATTATCTTCTGGATTCTGCAGGTTGCAATATAAGAACTGAAGATATTTCTTCAGTCCCCAGGGATGGCACAAATGGCTGATGATCAAGCTCATGCAGGTAAAAAATGGTTAACTATGAACAAAAATTACTTGCAACAGGCAAATACTTTTCTAACAAAATATGGTAATTTCCCAACAAAACCGTTAAACTAAAAAATGCTTTGGAAACAGATAATATTTTTGGTATGAGAAGGTTGTTTATGCAAATTCATATGGGCATTACAAGATAAGTTAAAACTAAGCCTTTTTCTGGATTAATATTAGTAATGTTAGGGTAATAGGTATTATAGATAGCTCTGACCCAATTGGCCCATCTATGGCCCAGCCCATATGCTGTGTATTGCTGTTCTCCCTTATTACAATGAAACTCAGATATTCTGATTGCGTCTCAAACTTCACAGGTAAAATACCATTTCTTTTTGCAAGAAGGTAAAATACCATTTTGTTGTCAGTAGCTGAAGAAAAATGGCAAAAATACCATTATGTTGATCATCAGTTAATTGGCACAATTCTGATATTGGAGTTACATACTACAGCCTAAATATCTACAAGTCACCTCCTGAAATGGCTGAAATTTGCAGGATTCCATCCTTGATGACATCTGATAATGTGGTGTCGAATTGAGGTACAGGAAATTATTCCTTGAATTTACGTGTTACCTTGTTTATTTACATAAAAAGTAAATTTGTTTCTGTTTCTGCGTTTCCATATGCTTGACTCTGCTGTCTGATGATCGCTTACTAGGCAACGTACACAGTATTATAAAATCCTTGATTTGGACATTTAATATTTTTTGCGGAACCTTGAATTATTAGTTAGTGGGAAAAAAGGGTCTGACCCGTTTAGTCTGGAGTTGTGGACTTTCTAAGAACGGATACCAATCTTCCACGTCTTGCTATACCATTTTATATACCTACATTACCTCGTATGGTGCGTGTGCCAGATCAGGTCCTCTTTCCACCTCCACCCACAGAATAAAAGAAGCCACAGCCCACAGTTGCTACCTTGTGGGTTCTCCTTTCCCTCTTTAAAATCCTCAACTATGACTAAACCATGGCTTGTTTAATCCTCCTGAGGGCGTTGTTTATCAAATCTAGGAGTTGAGCTGCTCATCCATTTGCCCCCCCTGGGCAGAGTTGTCCCCCTAATCACTCCATCCTAGAGAAATAAAACCATTTATCTTGAAAATTTCTATCCTCATCATGCTGCTATTATATGCATAGCATATACTGAAGAATTAGTGTATACTAAGCAACGGTTTTTGCTTTTGTGAGCTTAAAGAAACGGAACCAGGTTCTAGGGGAACCTACTGTTTCGTTCAGAAAAAAGGGGAGCCAACTGAGGTGAAGCAACCGGACTGTCTTGTTGGTAGACATGAAGAATCACTTTACTGGGTCTTGATTGCTGGGCAATTAAACTAAAAGTCTAATGCTTCCTTTTGTGCGATTTTGATGGGTTGCATCTTGGATCGCTAGTAAGACTAGTTTACTGAGCAGTTTGTTTATCATGGTTGGCCTAAAGGGGCATGCATCTAGAAGCATCAAATTTGGGCATGAAATGATTACTAATAGGCCATCTAAAGCACTAACAGAAATAATATGCACCTGCCAGAATATCGGATGACCTGACAACTTATTTGCCAAATGCACCCAAAAAGCAGAAAGTATTCAACATATATGCTGGTGGATTTCCTCATTTGGTGATTCGGTATTTGAATAATTGCTATGGCTGCTGCCATTTGAGGACATTGACTTTAATTGTGCATCGGAACATAATTATTTAAGAATATAAGAATGCATGAAGACTGGATTCTGTCCAGGGACAGCTTTGCTCCCCAGGATGCGGGTTCTTCTAATGGTGCTTTGTCTAATAGTAGTACAAAGCACCTGGCCTGGCTGTAGAGTTCGGTATTTGAACATGTCCTCATGAGTCATGTCTCATCATGCAGTATTTTTCCCTCTATAACTCGCCTTTAGTTTAGCACTTTTTTCAATTAACTGGCCGTGGACCCCCTTCTCCACTTCTGTTAAGTTGTTCACTGCTGACTCAGCTAAATTAAGTTGCCTTTCGGTTGGCACAACGGGATTGGTTCCCGTCTCAGACATAAACATGGTGAGGCCTAGTACAAAAGAATAAAGAGAGAAAGTGTTACTAAGTTTCTAACCTAGGAGTCAAACATGGGTGTCCAGTAGTTTGGCTGTCTTGCATTGGCCATTAGTTGCCTGGTCCAAGGTTTGGAAGGTGGCATGAGAGCCTAAGCTAGCAACGTTTGTTCGAGAGCGAGATGCCAACCAATTAGATTGGGTTGTTGCATAGGAGCTAGGACCATGCATAGAGTTACTCCTTTTTCCATAAGAGTAGGTGTTACAAGTACACCTCCCTGATTCATCAGTTGCATCCCCCAGCTGCTTCCCTTACCTTATCCGAGCGGTCCCTTTGAAAGCTCTGAACAGAGAAGTATTTGTGTGACTGGGGACCGCCATCCTAAAGCAACCGCACTGCAAGTTGCAACCCAGTAACCTGATTGCCTAAGAAATTGCCCATATGATGCACAAAAAAAAGTTGGCCAAAGTTTAAGTTATCTTCTTTAACTACCAGAGTCTGTATTCATGCTACACCTACTGTTTTTGGCAATTGCCTGGGTATACAGATAGATACTTGTAATTTATAGCCGCTGCCACTTCTTTTTCACACTTTTATATATTCTGTTACATGGCAGTAGTCTTTATAATTCCTTGCTGAACTGATTTTATCCCTGAACTCTTTGACACAAGACACCTAAATTGAACAACTAATCGTTTTATAGTGGACATACACGACAGAGTGACCCAACAAACCAACCATAGCATCGATAGAATAAAACTATGATATTTTTCATATTGGCTGAGCAAGAACAAATCATTTTGACATTTCTTTATTGTATAGTGTAGTCAGCTAGGGACGATATCTGATATATATTTATTGTGGGAGGCCATTTATAAAGTGTTTCTTTCCCATTGATCTGATGGGCTTCCAATCTAGTCTGATAGGGGCCGGTGGATGAAAAGAGGGGGCATCCTAGTGGTGGTCCTTTTCTCTTTGCATCACACTGTGTCGGCACTACCATTCTTGGTTACCAGTAATTGGATCTACTCCTGTTGGCGTCCAAAAAGAGTGATGCTCATAGGAAACCATTGATAAAACATATTTCAGATGTTCCAGACGGTCTTGTCTCTAGTTCTGGAGTAGTTCATGCGCTATATGTTATATGTTCAGTGTGTTTTGGATACGTTGCCTTCTGTCCGGACGATACTAATCGTTTACACCTCTACTTTCTTTACATGGACTTTCTGATTCTGGTTACTTCAGATGTGAGCTAGGTAGATTGGATAGAGCACACCTTTTTATCTGGGTTTATAAAGAACACTTTGAACTTTCATTAGCGATAGATTCCTAGAGTTTCTTCGTATATGGTTGTGTGACGTGTCCTTTCACCAGGACGTACGTCTAAGGATAAAAACCAGGTCTCATGTATGTCTACCCTGTCTATATAGCCATCATGTCTTCTCCACTAGAGCTCGTGTAGTCCAACCCACCCGTGTAAACCACGTAGTTGAAAGCTACAGTTTCTCAATGAACTTTTTGCATTTTTTTTTTCAATTGCATGATGATGCTAGCTAGACCGCCGCAATCTATGACCTTAAGCTCCATTTTGAACTTAGAAAAGACTCATGTTCCAACTTGCAACTCGTGCAAGTACAATGTTCTCTTGGCTTTTACAATACTACTATTCAAGGTTTTTAGTTGACGGCAGTTGTTATGTGCCGTAAACTGAACAGTGGTCAAATTACCGTCCTTGCTAGGAACAGTGAATCCTAGAGCTTTCTTCTTGACTCTTCCCGGAATTCGAGCAACTTGTATTGATGTTCTTTCAATTTTGTTCCTGCATAACGTTTGAAAACAGGTCTAGAATCGTAGCATCTCCTTGCATGATTAGCCAAGTCAGATAATGACGACCCTTTTGGACTTGTTGATCCTAAAGGGATACTGTTATACTCGAGGAAAATTAGCTACTGGCGGTGGGCCCCTGGATAGATGCAGTCAGTGCTGTCTCCTGGCAATCGTTAAGAGCCAGGCCAGGTCAAAGTTTTCCTCTTATCGACTTATAACTCAGAGTCAGAGACGAGGAAATAAATGGTGCACAGGAATGCAACCTCCTAGGTTTTTCAATAATAAAAAAAGAGAGTAAGCAGTGTAATGGTAGTAGTACCACCAACACACAACTTGCTCTCAATAGTAGCAAGTCAAGTGGAGGAACCTTGGATCCAGGCCGTTTGCTTTTCTATATTGCCCATGAGGCTATAATTTGATAATATTTTTCCTTTTAAAAAAGGAAACTTGATATTTGTCTCATGTTGCCAACCCTATGATTATATTGTACTCCCTCATTCCCTAAATGTTTGACACTGTTGACTTTTTTAAACATGTTTGACCGTTCGTTTTATTAAAAAACTTTTGTGATATGTGCAAAACTATATGTATACATAAAAGTATATTTAACAATAAATCAAATGATAGAAAAAGAATTAACAATTACTTAAATTTTTTTAATAAGACGAATGGTCAAACATTTTTAAAAAAGTCAACGGCGTCAAACATTTTGGGATGGAGGTAGTATTGTGCAAATGTGGCTTTGGCTAGCAAGCTGGGTATCTTATACTTAACAATATTTTTCTGTGTGTTGGCAACTTGTAGTCTTGTACTAACATATATATATATATATATATATATATATATATATATATTTGTTGATGTCCAACTTGCAGGCAAAAAATTATCCTCGATTTCCTAGAAGATTGGCGTGTATTGCAATCCTTGTACCATCAGAGATGCTAACCCACCACCTCACCCCTAGTTGTGCAAGGAGGCCCAACAGCCAATTTGACCACGGTATTTGCCAGTACTGCTGCAGCAACGTAAGACCCATTCTTGCTATTTTAAATACCAATGCTTTGCAAAATATATACCAACTAAACAACAGTATTCTGCAACCTTTATGTGCACATGTGATATGTTTAATGTATATATAGATCCCTTGCGTTAGTTAGATGGTATTTGTTGCTTTATAATACTACAAACTCAGGCCTCGCAAATAGAAAGTCCGGTATGTGGGAGAGAGAAGTTACATATATATAATATACTATATATACTAATCAATAATGGATGCGACGAAGACTATTTATCTGCAAGATTCTTGGTGCCTTTGAGGCCACTACTACTAGGTGACTGCCAATAGTAACATGTTAGTTGAGAGGGACTTAAGATTCCAGCGTGAGCTACACCTGTTTATCTTCAATAGAGGGCATGTTTAGTTGTTGAAATAAAAAATTTTGGATTTCACATCGGACGTTTGACCGGATGTCAGAAGGGGTTTTTGGACACGAATAAAAAAACTAATTTCACAACTCGCCTGTAAACCGTGAGATGAATCTTTTGAGCCTAATTAATTCATCATTAGCACATGTGGTTTACTGTAGCACTTATGGCTAATTATGGTCTAATAAGACTCAAAAGATTCGTCTCGCGATTTACATGCAAACTGTGTAATTAGTTTTTCTTTTTATCTATATTTGATGCTTCATATATGTGTCCAAAGATTCGATGTGATTTTTTTGGAAAAAATTTTGGGGAACAAACAGGGCCTGATTTTAGAACCATGGGATTGGACTGGACCTCGTCGCTGCTATATTTTATAACAACATCGATATTTCTAGTGCTCCCATGCTTACATCTTTTCGTGATTCTCTAGATTTGTCCTTTAGTTTCTCTCTACCGACAGCGTCTATATATTCAGTCACAAATTCAATGGTATACTTGATGGTAATGTTCCCTGCTTTTACCAAGTTTTATTTAGGCCCCTTTGGTTAGAATGAAAAACATACTCACTCAGTCCCAAAATATAAGAATTTAATATTGGATGAAACGTTTCGTAGTATGTATCTTAGATGGACTTCCTATCCAGTTCTATATTCTTATATTCTGAGACGGAGACAGTAGCAATTTTATAGGATGGCACTTTAGAACAAAGGATCAGACACATTAGAATCCTATTCAATTCCTATAGAATAACTCAATCCATACAAGATTTGAAGTAAATTTAACGTTTGGTTCAACTTCATAAGAAATTTTCTCTGTCTCGTTAAAATTCGAAGTTTTTTTTTTCTAACAAAACGATCATTTTCGTATTTTTTTCCATGTTTTGTTTTTACATGTGCTTCTTAAAATCCCGCGTTTCGTTGGTACTGCATTCCTTTTCAATTCAGTTTGTTAACTGGAATTCCTTTTCTTTTAGTAGAACCAATTGTTGTGGGATTTAATAAACAACGAGAGGTGCTGAAGCGATACTAGCATGTGAAGATATAAAAAGATTTTGTGCTGCTTTCTTTTTTCCAATTCAGTTTGTTTACTGGAATTTCCCCTTTCTTTTAGACACCAATTATTGTGAGATTTAAACAAGAGGAGAGGTGGTGAAACGATACTAAGCCATTGTTTAGTTCCAAACTTTTTATTTAAACCTTTAACTTTTTCATCACATCAAAACTTTTTTTTTTACACATAAACTTCTAACTTTTCCGTCACATCGTTTTAATTTTAACAAAACTTCCAATTTTGGTGTGAACTGCCCCTGTTTAGTTCCAAAGTTTTTTTTCCAAACTTCCAATTTTCCATCACATTAAACCTTTCATACACACACAACTTTACTATCACATCGTACCAATTTTAATTAAACTTTTAAACTTTAGTCTAAACTAAACACAGCCCTAAACACACCCTAGGAAGATAATTGACCCTGAGCACACGAAGCGTGTGGACGAGGAAGGTCCTCACGTTTCGGATCGGGACGAGGCACTCACTCACACATATCCTTACTCATACTAGTTGTCCGTGACTGGGACGGGTGTATACATTAAAAAAAACCCCAAGTACGGGTGGGCCCCACGGCTGCGGCCCCCTCTTCACTCCTATTGGGCCCAAGGTCCCCGAAAGCGAAACGGACCATTTCCAGTACCCCCCGGTGTGGTTCACCGGCGGTAGCCGGTCGCCGCCCACCTCCACCCTTTCCCAACACGGAAGGGAGGCTCCGATGAGGGCCTCATACGAGGTCATGTAAACGGGTAGGTTTAAGGTTTACCACATCTGGCAAGCCTAGCTAGCTAGCTAGTCTTCCCAATTCCTTTTGTTTTCCCTTTTTTATAATTTTATTTACTTTTACCATGCTGTTCAAGGTGGTTTTCTTGGAGTCCCATTGGATCCTTTGCTACTATTGTATGTTTCTTTTTCCTTGGTGGGCCCCACATGGCAGGATGGTTTTTTATCTTTGCCTGCAGCTGCTGTTGTGTCCTGTGTGACCTGTGGTCGTTTTTGGAGCTGTGTATTTGTATGGTTCCTGTCAGCTTGCTTCTGCTATCTTCTTCTATCGCCTTTTTCCGTCGTTGAGAGATTCATGCCTATCCTCCTTGGCCTCCTGTAGCTGCCATCCACACGATCTCTCAAAATGCCATGCGCACTATATGCTGTGCCGAGTTTTATATTTGTTCTGTGTCTACGTCAACCTCGACCACATTAGCTATAGCAGCGAGTAGTTTGAAAGAAAATGTGAATCTGGAGACGGTATTCTGTCTGCACCACACGAATTTTATTTTCTGTTTTCTTTTTTCCTTTTCTTTTGTTCATTGGGGAAAAAAATATCCTGTGAATTGAATTGAATTGAAGCTGTTGTCGTTACGAGTTATGAAAATTATGTCAGGTAGTCTGTGAGTCTCTGTGTGCGCTTCTTCATCTGGCTTTGGTACGCGTGAAGCACGCCTTGTTTTTGTTGTCAGGCGGCAATAGATAGATTGGTTGGCCAATGATTGACGCATTTTCCGTGGGCTTCTCGAAAACTTTGGGTGGACGAAACCATTGTTTTTAATAATTATTGCTCCGCTTCCTCTTTTGAGCAAGTCCCTGTGGTCCTTTTTGTCGGTAGGCAATTAGGCATTGAAGTATCTGGTAGCACTAGTGTGATTTTGTTGGATGGAGCTAATTAATATAAAACCTCGTTTAGCTCATCATTCGATCATTGGTTCTTGGATAACTATAAATATCCGCAACTACTAGTATTGAAAATATAGATATGAAAACGTATCTTCCTGCAAATCTGCATAGCAAATCTTTATATTTGTTTTTTTAATCATTTTTCAGTTATTTAAGATCTTGATATTTGATTGTGCATAGCCTAGGAACGCTGTGAACGGAGAGAGTATTTGGCAGGTGCACATCCTCTTCAAAATATATAACATATAATAGTATATATGCGAGTAAATTATTCATCGATCCCCAAAAATGTTTTGACTTGAATATGTGAAATATCAATATATGATGGCCATGTATACACGAGATAGCTTACTGTTTTGAATCAGGCCTGCCAATAATCTTTACTTGGTTGAACTTCAACCTACTAAATCTCTAGGTATCCATCGATATATCATCCATTGAACTGGCAATCAACAGCTATCACAACATATAGGTCCACTATGTACACTGTTCAATAGATATTAACTACTATTAATTAATTATAATTCTGAGGACACGTAGACGGAAAATAACAGCCACGAAATAAACTAAACACGTATCCTTTTCTTTTGTTATCTAGACACGGAGGACCGGATCGCTCATTGATGGTATCATTTTGATCTCTTCGATCCGTTCCTTTTTCCGGTACCATCTATATGTATTAACTCAACCAAGCCGGCCTTCTAAAGAAATGAAAATATCGTACACACACATATATATACAGCTACTCCGTATTTACAAATACATCTTGTATATATAAACAGTTAGTGTGTTCGTACTCTCTTATTTATCAACGAAATGAGGCAGATCTCTTCTGACTATTTTCATCAAAGAAAATAAAGAGACCATGTGATGATCATGCCGCGTGCGTGCATGCTAGCTAACTCCTTTCTTTCCGGGAAAGAAAATCTCTTCTTTAATCGTCGTAAAGAGGCTACAGTGTTAGGATAAAGTAGTACTTTTGGTACCCTAGTACTCCCTCCATCCTAAAATCACTTTTGTACTTCAACACGGTTTTCGAGATTCTATTTTGACCAACGATATTTATAAAAGATATTTTAAATAAAAAGAGTTATATACTATGATAATTTATTTAATGATAAATCTAGTAACATTAATTTTATATGATTGATCTTTTTTATTTTTTTACTACTAATAGGTAAAGTTATAAATATTTGACTTAATACTATGCTAAAAATACTTTTATTTTAGTATGGAGGGAGTAGTAAAGGGTACAGTCCAGGTCCAGCTCGAGAAGGCACTATACACTGTATAGCACTGTACATTGTGTACCGGCATAGGCAGAGAGATAAGTTGCAAATTAAACCAATTGGATTCGATCGATCGAACAGGGGTCCCATGATCATCACATATATCCATGATCATCACATATATCTAGCCATTGTATGATTAATTGCAACCATCTTTTGACTGTAGATTTTGTCATCCTGAAATTTAACAAATTGTTGTTGGATCGGTTTACGGTTGGTAGTTTGCACGTCCGTGTCACGTAGAATACGACGTACTGTACGTACATATATAAGTACTTGCAAATTAAGCACATGAGAAATATATATATAAAGGTTTGTCTAGCTACCTAATTAAGATGGATTATTGTAAAGATATTTCTTACACATTTATGATTGGGAGAGTTCATATGTTTCCATTTATTTGCATGAGGGGATGGAAGGCTAGATATAGAAAGTCTTCGCACGAAATATATCGTTTGGCGGAGTTAAAATCTGTATCAATTCTCCTCTAAAAAAATCTGTATCAATCAGAAAAGAACGGACATATACGGGTATACCCATTTATGAGTAAGTACTTGCAAATCAAGCACGTGAGAAATATATATGAAGGTTTGTCTAGCTACCTAATTAAGGTGGATAATTGTAAAAGATATTTCCATTTGCATACGCATGATTGGGACTTGGGCGAGTTCACATGTTTCCATTTGCAGGAGGGGATCGATCGGACGTATTCCGGCCGGCCGGCGTCCGGCGCCGCCCGTCGGCGCGTGGCCATAAAACGCGACGAGGGGGTACGGCGTGGTCCTCTACATGCACGGTGTTGGGTCGCCAGCCAGCCAGCCTTATCTTGCTAGCTGTGACGGCGACCACAGTACCTGCCACCCTGGGGGAATTAATCTAGAGGTAACTAACTCAGATTTAATTTATAAGGCTTTGATGGATGGAAGAGAAAACGTGCGCTCAGATTTAGACTTTGATGGAGAACATTTCTTGTGCTATGTCTCCCTGTTTTCCCTCGGTTGATCATGATACTGCACTCTTTTTCATACAACAATATAAGTATTTATAGATTGGTATGTACTCCCTCCGTAAAAAAACAACTCTGGAGCTGTCTAGATTCTTGTAATAGTAGTGGTTGGCTTTTTTTTTTTGGGGGGAGGGGGGGAGAGGGGGGTAGAGGTTAAGGTTAGAAAAAGCAAACTTTAGTGCTTCTAAGAGTAAGTTTAATAGAAATGCTTACTATTTACTCTTTATTTCTCTTGCTATGAATTTAATGAATATTTATTGGAGCATTTGTAGAACTGTTCTTACATGAGAGCATCACCTCTTACTTTTTATTGTCTTTTTCTTCCATATAAGTATATAACTTGCTTATAACTCACTGTTGTTTTTCTCTAATTAAATGAGAGATGAATGGGGGTGAGAGAATAGTTAGAGGTAAGATTGAAAGAAATTTAAATGAAAGATTTACTGATGGGTAAAAATACTTATATTCCTGGACAAAATTCAAATACTTTGTATTATTGAACGATGGGGGGACTAAATTTGCCGACAACCACCTCTTCATTCTTACTGTTCAAGCGTTCATCCTTTCCCTCTCTTATCTGTGACCCCACGGCATCTCTCGCCGAGTTGATTGCTATTAATGCCTCGGCCAACCTCTTCACCTTTTTGCTAGGGCCATCGGTGGCGAAGAAGAGCAACTCATCGGAGAGAATGAATACGTACGCTAATATGACAATCATCAAATCTTTCAAGATCCAGGTGACAGAATCTTAAGCATTCTAACATAGTGCCACGTAAAGGAGGTAAAATTGAAACCTCGGTTGGTCCCTTTTTGCTGCCAACACTGATGCTAATGCTTTAATAATGACCGTACAAGTGGATCCTTTTACAGAAGATCTAGTTGCCCCCTCCCCCATGTGTTGGTGTAGCGTGTTTAGCAGTGGCGGTAAGTACTCCAGTACACTCACTCTGTCAAAAAAAAAAAAACTATTTCCCTTTCAGAAAACTTAACCAATAAAACGATGTGATCTTTTATATTGTCTAGATTAGTTGTACTAGAAAGGATTAGATTCCCGTATAAATTAAGTATTTTTAGAATGGAGGAAGTATTTATCTAGATTAATTTGTCAGATCGGGTTCTTTTTTAGAGAGAGAGAGGGGGAGGATAAACCAAATGTGTATATGAGAGGACACACCGGCTCGGCCCCACCTGTCGTACACTATGACCACATGCCAGATTTGAGCCTGTCATGTGGGCTTCACTCCCCCGGCATCTAAATCTACCTCTCATTTTCGCCTCTTGGAACCCTCCAGGGGCAGGCCAGCAAAAGACTCCATATGATGCAGGTCGCTCTGTGATTGTGATATCTTAGTACTGTCTCCCCATTTCTGAATAAGTTCATTTTTCATTCATCACATGCATATACCAATACAAAGTTAAAAAATATTAAATTACTTCTTATCAAATTTCAATATAACTATTCATCATTTTATAAACATTTAATATAATTATTTTTTATTCTCACAAGCTCCGAAGTGACGATTATTCTGAAAACGAATTTATTTTGAGATAAATAGAGAAAACTAAAAATGAATTTAATATGTAACGGATGAAGTAGGTTTCCTCTTTATTTTCTTCTCTCTTTCAACAAAGTTGTAGGAGAAATACCAGTACTAGTAGTACTATATCTGATGGGATTAATTAGTTCTTCGTTGGGTTTAGGAGGCGTTGATTACTTGTTAGAGCACTCTGTCCTGATCAAACCTATCACTGTCTGGCACCGTGCCTGGAGGTTTGCCTGTCGACTTGTGATTGGCTGCTGGTGGGGACACGTCACCCTTAGAGGGGTTAATTTCTTGAGGTGACCTGCAGCAGCTGGGGACCGATATGGAATAGAAAAATGGCAAGATACCACATATGGGAGGTACTCCCACCGTAAAAAAAAAAAAGCTAACCTAAGATAATAATGAAATATAATTTAGAACAATGAATCTGGATATAAAGGTTAAAACCCGTGATTCGTTATTCTAGATTATATTTCATCCTTATTTAGATTGGTTTTTTTTTAGGACTCAGAGGGTAGAGGGTAGAGGGAAGAAAGCACATGATTTTATTTAAGAGATTTGACACACACACGGACGATATTGGTTTGTTCGTTGGAGAGGAAAAAGAGATACTGTTCCAATATTTTCTCAGTAGCTGGATTTGGCCCTCTCTTTTCTCCTCACATTTCTGCCATGTTTATTCTCTTTCTGGAACTGGGTACTATTATATATAATATGGATTTTTTTTGCAAGAAATATATCATATGGTTTGTTTACCACCTGAAAATAATAAGAGGAAAAAACTTAAGAGGGTAATTATACTCACTCCTTCTCTAAGGCTGTGTTCTTTAGATGATGTTGGGAGCTAATCTCTCGCGCACACAAAATAGAGTGACTTATTAACGCATGATTAATTGAGTATTAGCTATTCTTTAAGAATGGATTAATGTGATTTTTAAAATTAACTTTCTTATAGAAAATTTTTATAAAATATATCTGTTTAACACTTTGGGAAGCGTGCACGCAGAAAACAAGTAACTTGAGTTGGACCTTGTCTAGTTCCAAACTTTTTCTTCAAACTTCCAACTTTTCCATCACATCAAAACTTTCTTATACACACAAACTTTCAACTTTCCTGTCACATCGTTCCAATTTCAACCAAATTTCTAATTTTGGCGTGAACTAAACACACCTTTGGTAACTGCAGCTGCCGAACTCAGCCTAAGTGCACTCTTGTAGTTCAAATTTAAATTAGAAGAGTGTTCTTATTTTAGAAAGGAGAAAGTATATCGGTACTGTTTGGTACTACATCTGCTAATTGATTTCTGGCATCGTGGTTGGGTAAAAGTGGACAGAAACTGATACCTCACATGCATGCCACACTTTTTTTTTAACTGCTTGTATGTATTATAGTAGTACAACTGTCTCTGCCTAAGAAGATGCCTGAATTGGCAGGTGACTATGAGCATTCCACCCGTACTGGCGGTCCCAACCGTCCACCAGTAGGAAGAGGGCATGTATTGTATTCCTAGTTGTTGCATCTCATTTTCGCTGTTGCTTTTATTTTCTTACTCATTTGTACTATTTATTCCCTAGCTAGATAGAACCCTTTTGTATGCTCCACACCAAAGCTAAAGTAATAAAATGCTTTCTCTCTCTCTCTCTCTCTTTATGGGGAAAAAAATGTATAGAATTGAGCTCCATTGTGTATGTCTCTGGTTCAGCAGCAAGAAGAAGATGGAGTGATGGACACCTGAGCATATCCTAAGACATGGTATCTTTGCCTCCATTCCTTTCACCAGCAGGTCAGTGTCTTAAAACAACTCACATTTGCTCAAAAGATAGCATTCACTAACCTGTGGTAGCAATATATAGAGATATTCATATTTTTTTGCCTGTACAATGATTTAAGAGTTTATGAGATGCTGCTGTGAATTTGGATTTGCTTTTCGAAGCGCATTTGTTATTATTTTCTTCTACTAAGACTGCTAGTCAGGCAGTACTGGAGTTAGCTAGTACAAGTGCCGTACATAATGACTCTTCTTTAGTTTTCTTACTAAAGTGGGAAATTGAAACATTACATGGAATATTTCGTGGGTGGGGCCAACCACCCCGAAATGGAAATCTGGGGCCCTCAATAATTTCGCGCATCGCAACATAAAAATAGTGGCTGTGCTGTGCGTAGGTTCTCCATTGGATGGAACTGATGGGCCAACCCTAGTTTTGCATCTTCTCCTTTTGTTTTTGCATCTTTTCTCACTTTACTTGCTGTCAATGCAACAAAAAAGATAGGATAACTTTGCCTCATCAATCCCCCAACAGTTCCTTGTCTCCATTGCTATACAGTCCACACTTCCTTTCCTGTAGTATGCATCTATCAGGAAAAAATAAAAGAAGTTTGTCTCCACTAAAGAGAGATATAAGAATGATTCAACAAGGAGTGATTTGGTCTATCACAATATGATTAGTAATAATTAAGTTGTGTTATACTCCATCAGTTTCAAAATATAGAAAAATATTGAATTCTAATTTTGCACCGCAATATAGTACTTCTACGCGATATCCATGGTTCTCATTCCACTAATCCAAAGCCAACCAGATGCCTCGAAAGGGAATTCAAGCAATCCAAAATTCAAAAATTGACAACTAAAATGACTAAAAAGGAATCTTTTGACATAACCTTAGTATCTGCCAAAGAACCTATAGCAATCCTTATATTTTAGTAGAACGGAAGAAATATATATATAGTAATCTTGTTTAGTACTGTAAATGTTGTAAATGTTTTTAGACGTCCCTAGTTTGGTAAACTAGTTTACAAATGATAATAAAATACACAATAATCGCGAGAGACATATTATAGGTGGATAATATATTTCTGTTTCAATTTTCATTTTCATTTAATAAATTCCCGATGGGATTGGTTGATCTCTTGTTGGGCGACACCAATCGTATATGTACTATCGATGAAAATGCAACCGGCCAAGCAACACGAGCTGAGTTGTACGTGTTGCTGGCAAGACATTGGCCTGGTAGCAACCAATCACTTGCACACACGCGGATTACAGTATCTTATTCTCTCCAATAGTCTTGTCTATATGTACAAGACGTATCACAGAGAATCACCGGTGACAGCAATGTTGATGTGCGGCCTAGATTAAGTAGCTTGTGCTATATACGATTCCTTTTGTTTATCCAATGTTAGTTTCACTTTAGATGTCAATTCAACTATAACTAGCTAACCCAGTGTTTTAGTATGCGTTTGGTTGGAGGAATAGGTTAGGTCGGATTGGGTCGAACCCCTTTTTCATAATGATTGGTTTAGGGATGGGTGAGATGGGTTAGTTCCCTTAGAATATTCACCTTCGATCCGGGTCCAAATCATCCGGCAAAAACAAACAAATGAGTTCGACCCACCTGGGTTGGGCGCACGGCGTGAGTCGCGTCGCTTCACCCCGCATGCTTGCGCGCTCGGTCGCCTGCTTGCTCACACCGTTACCTGCTGGTCATGCTCCTCGACCCACCGGCTTGCTCGCCTGCCTACGCTGCTCCTTCGCCCGTAAATGCAAGCTCCTCCGTTCACTAGGCCATCGTCACACACCTCCGCCCGCCGTCATCCATCTTGCAAGCCCGCCCTCACCGCTCTTTCTTTTGCTAGTTGTTGGCTTGCTTGTCCGCCCACCGGCCTATTTTGCATACCGCTTCTTTGCATGCTTGCGAATTACACCGGCTTGCGTGCTCGCAAGCCTGCCCGGTTGTTGACGGTGGTTGCAAACACCATCCATCCCATCTCTCCCTTATCCTTTTAATAACCAAACAAAAAATTGGAATCGTCCGATCCTACAAACCAAACATGTGAGTGAAATCATCCTAACTCTAAAATCAGGGGATGTTTCATCTCATCCTATCTAGTCCCGAAACCAAACACATGCTTAAGTAGAGATGCCATGAAGTTGTAACTGAATGGTATCATAAACATTTTTTAACTGATTAATGTTGGATCTCGATGTATGCAATGGCTGGTAACTGTTCTCTTATGTTTCTTATAGTTTCTAGCTAGTTCTCAAAACAAGTTCGTTCTAGCTATATATGAAACTAATTCGATCGCTGATTTTATCCATTGAAACGATGATCCTACACTACTTTTGAGATATTAAAACAGCAGGGAGGCCCCTGATCGATGATCCTACTTTCAGGCAGCCGATCAATGATCAAAATTAATTAAAAAATTCTTCCCTTTTTTTTTTGGTACTGAAAGGAACCAAATTTGGTCAAATTTTGTACAAACTCAAATGACGAAACCTCGTGCGTTTTCCATAATTGGCGTGCATTGACCTTCCGTTTGGGGGTAGGATAGTGCATCACTATCCGTGCACGGTTACTGTGTGCCGAAAACGGCAACTCTGTATACCAATTTCTGCCCTGTTCAAATCCAACTAAGAATTGGTCGACCCTTTTTTTTTTAATTCCAAGTGGTTGCATGTTCACGCAAACACAAATGCATACTATTATATGATTTGAAATTAATTAATAAGAAGTGTTTTTCTCGCAGATTGCGATGTCTGCATCACTGCAATTAAGCCATTAGCATACGTGTATTTTGTGAACAGGTTTCTGCTAGTGACTCATACTGCTATTCCCAGCTAAGCATCATCACCTTGCAGAAAAGATGAGACAAATTAGGATGCATGCGACAGGATAATGTAATGCCTTTGTCAGCTCTGATAGGGACGATTTTCTCCCCCTTTTATCTCTCTAAAAGAACTGATAAAAGGGACAATCTTTTGTGAATGTTTAATCTACAAAGTATAACATGCAAACACTATGGACTAATATTATTACTGAATTGAGAAGTACAAGATGGTAAATAGTATTATGTTTGACTTACCATCGTTAATAGGGGTTTGTGAATCCGAAATAATCTCAAAAGGAATGCAATTGTAGCATTTTTTTTGTTGATTTTATAATTTATACTCCCTCGTCTCATATTATAATTGTTTTGACTCTTTTGCTAGTAAAATTTCATTAAGTTTGATCAAATTTATAGAAAGTTATAGCAACATTTCCCATATAAAACAAACATATTACCAAAATATATACAATGTTATATTCAATGAAACTAATTTGTATGTCGATAATTTTTTCTATAAATTTGGTCAAACATAAACAAATTTGATGCAAAAAAGCAATTTTTTTAATGTGAAAAACCCTTATTGGAAGAAACAACAGGTGTCGACTGATAATGATCATTAGGCATAGGTTAGTTTCTCTGGACTCATAAGTCTTTCTAGCTTCGCCACTAAACACAACAAAATAAGACGTCACACTCTTCTCGTGCGGCCTACAAAAGATATATAAATAGAATAAAAGACCAAGAGTCCTAATAGCAAAGATTAGAAATCCTACTAGGGAACTAATCTAAATATATTACATGCTGAAATTCGGATGACATATTTAAAATATATATAAATCAAACTTAATAGTTTTGGATAACAATTAGTCAAATTGCAAATATATTTGGTGTATAACTTTAATTAGCATATCCATATTTCAAAGTACTTTAATAAGTTGTTGATTTTAATCTATTCAAACTATATATATTAGCAATCAATGGTAAAAGTTTAATTTGAATATGTTTCCCAAATATA